CAGGAATGACACAAAGATGCCTTTTATCACCACTCTTACTTAATATAGTAATGGAAGACTTAACCAGAGCTATAAGATCAGAAAGTGAAATTAAAGACATTGAAATCGGCAAAGAAGACATTAAAGTCTTTCTATGTGCACATATAATCCTATCAAAGACTCAGCAAGAAAATTATTCGAACTCAATGAAACATTCAGCAAAGTTGCGAGGTACAAAATCAACATACAAAAATCAATCAAATTCTTTTACACTAATAAAGAGAGCTCTAAAAAAGAAATCAAGAAAACAGTATCATTGACATCGTTGTAAGATGCCATCAAGTTGGTTTTGACTCATAGCAACTCTGTTTTGGGTTTCTAAGGACCAACTGTTCAGTTTGAACCACCGATTTTGAGGTTCAAGCTGACCTTGCGGTCCAGTGCTTTATCGTATAACCCCACACCTGGAAAGCCACCCAAAATATGGAATACTTAAGAATAAATCCAACCACAGAAACAAAAGATCTTTACAAAGAAAATCACAAAATATTACTACAAGAGGCCAAAAGAAACCTACAAAAATAGAATATACCACATTCATGTATAGTAAGATTTAACATTGTGAAAATATCAACACTATCTAAAGCAATCTATAGATATAATGCAATCCCAATCCAGATTTCAGTATCATTTTTTAAAGAGATGGAAAAAGTAATCATTAACTTTATGTGGAAAGGAGAAACCCCAGATATCAAAGCTTTACAAAAGAAGAAGAACAAAGAAGTAATAGCACAAATAACACTAGCAAACATAACTGAAAACTCAGAATAAGCAGAAAACTGGGCCCTCTTAAAAATTACACACAAATTATGTACATCAAAAGATTTTACAAAATCAGTAAAAAGAAAACCCACATACTCAGGGTAAAAAGTGTTGGCAATGGAATATCAGATAAGGGAATGATCTCTAAATTTTATAGAAAATTTCAACACCTCAACAAGAAAAAGACAAATAATCCAATTTAAAAATGGGCAAAGGACACTTCACCAAAGATGACATGCAAGCGACCAACAAACATCATTAGCTATTGTTAAGTGCCATTTAGTCAGTTCTGAGGATTTCCAAGGAGCAGTTGGTGGGTTTGAACTGCTGACCTTGCAGTTCAAGCTGAGTTTGTAGTCAGTGCTTATCCTATGGCACCACCAGACTCATTAGCCATTTTGTTGTTGTTGTTGTTGTTAAGTGCCATCAAATCAATTACAACTCAAAGTGTCCCTGTGTGAGGTTTCCAAAGAGCAAATAGTGGGTTTGAAGAGCAAACTTTGAAGTTCAAACCAACCTTGCAGTTCAGTCCATTATCTTGCAGTACCACACCAGGATTCCATTATCCATTGTTGTTGTTTTTAAGTGCTGTTGAGTTGGTTCTGACTCATAGCAACTCTGTACAGGGTTTCCAAGGAGTGGGTGGAGAATTTGAACCGCTGACCTTGTGGTTCAAGCCAACCTTACAGTCAGTGCTTTATCCCACAGCACCATACCATTTAGAGAGATGCAAATCAAAATAGCAATGATGTAGCATCTCATCTCAGCACTAATAGCAAAATTAAAAATATATATATACACACACACACACACACACACACAAAACCCCAGAAAACAGCAAATAAATGTCAAGGGTGTTGAGAGACTGGGACCCTTCTATGCTGCGGGTGGGACTGTAAAATGGTGCAACCACTGAGGAAACCAGTATGATGCTTCCTCAAAAAGTTTGAAATAGCAATATTGTATGATCCAGAAATCCCTTTACTTTGGTATATATCCCCAAGAAATAAGAGCCACGACATGAATAGATACATGCGTATCTATGTTCATTGTAGCATGATTCACAATAGCAAAAAGATGGCGACAGCTCAAATGCTAATCAATGGAAGAATGGATAAATAAACCTTGGTGCATGCATACGATGGAATACTATGCAGTGTTGAAGAATAACAACAAATCTGCAAAACACCTCATTATATGGATCAACCCAGAGGACATCATGCTGAGTGAAATTAATCAACCACAAAAGTACAAATATTATATAAGAAAAGTACTTCCTACTAAAAGAGGTGGGAGGGAAGAGAGAATAATTAACCAGTTAGAGAGTAGGCATATATAACACTAGTAAGAAACACTCACTTGGAGGTAGTTAACTACACAAAATCAAAAAGACAGCATTTGCCTAAGGAAAAATTCAGAAGGGTTGGGAAGGAGGGTGGAATGGGAGCACATGGAAAAAGTGGGATATCTGATGTTCTATGGAGGAAACTGCAATTTATTAAAATGAGACATAAGAGGGTTTTCTGTTTTCTGATTTTTTGACTTTCTAATTTCTAGCAATTTTCTCTAATTAAAAAAAAAATATTACTGTTTTGTGGTATAGCACATGCCTAATTGTTGTAAATATTTAAGAGGCACTTGAAAAGAAAGTACGGCCTCTATAGTCATAGTGGTTGTTGTTATGTGCCATGGAGTCTGTTCCGGCTCATAGTGACCCTGTACAGGGTTTCTGAGGCTGTAAATCTTTACGGGAGCAGAAAGCCCCATCTTTCTCCCGTGGAGTGGCTGGTAATTTTGAACTGCTGACCTGTAGGTTTGCAGCCCGATTCATAACCACTACACTACCAGAACTCCTTATAAGATTCTAAATGTAGCCCTTTAGATCGTCCTAGTCCATTAAATTTTTTATAATTTATGTAGTCTGGTTTATATGTTGTATACTTGTTCTGTCATGACCTAGGGACAAATTAATATTTCTTATCACTGTATTGCTATTTATCTTTAATTCTTATTCATGAACATGGATACATTGATATTTAATGCATACATATTAATAACTATTTTATCTTGATTGTAAATTGGATCCTTTGGTCCTTTGACAGTAAAAAGCCAATTCTTTAATTCATTTAATGCTTTCTGGCCTGAATTCTGCTTTCATATTAAAATAGAAATCTTACTTTTTAGTGTTTGTGTACTTTTAATGGCATCTTTTGAACAAGGTGTCCCACATTTTCATTCTGCACTGGGAGGCACAAATTACCTAGCAGTCCAGTACACAATAGATTTAAAGAGTTTTTAAGGTCATATCCCTATACTCTTGATAAGCATGGCCTTCTACAAAAGGTCACTTGGAACCGCAGTCAGAACTAAGGTGCAGGATGACCACTCAAACATATACATATGTTCAAGCCTCAAGTCCTGCTCGTCATAATCCAGTCAAATGATCTAGCATATCACAAAATAAGATGAGAGAACAAAAAAGAATGTAATGAAAAGGAGTTCCAACTTTTGTTGTGTTTACATGTAAAACATGCTTCTGTTTTACTAATGTAAAGACTTCCAGAGGAATGGTTACGGAAACTAAGAAAATATGATCATTGTAATTAATGAGAAGCAAATACTCTCCAGATGGGTCAACCTGGCTGCAAAACCTTTTTATTACCTTTCTAAGAGAAATTTCTGCAGTAACCCATAAGAAGCATAATGCAAGGGAAACCAAAGGTCCACTGTAAGATATCTAAAGGGATTTGTTTTTAATTTAGTATGATGTATGTTTAATGAAACTAGAGTCGTTCACAAAGTAAATACAAATACGGTGCAATCACATTTTTAAATTAGTCTCACAATTCCTTAAACATCTGTTTTTTTTTTTAGAGGAGAAAAAGGTGTCTTGGTACAGTAAATTCATATGCTGAAGCAAAGTGTAAGTTTTCCCCCTAATACTTACTTCCTTTAAATACTGTAGCAAATGCATCCCTTCAGGTTGGAACTTGATCATCTAAAACCATCAAACAAAAATACCAAAAGAATTCTCCCTGTAATTCCACTGATTTTTCTCTTCTTATTAGCAGAGATATAAAAATCTGTTAAACACCTGGTGCTTTTTTTTTCACACATTTTCATTAAAATTACCATTTTTATAAGGAATGAGTGAAAACCATAGGGAATCTTGGTAGAAACGAAGCCCATAAAATAAGTGAAAGTACTTGGATATGTGAATTCATTGTTTTAAGATAAGAGACAAGTAGTACAAATGATTAGCAACACAAATAGCAAAAATGGAACATAATAGGCTTCACACTGTCAAATTGCAATTTAGAAGCCTGAGTAATTCTTGAATAAAAAGACAGAGCAAAAATGAGCCATTGAATATATGTCCACACACGATACTTCTCATAGAATGCTACGCTTGTCTTCTTCTCTCATACCCAGGCAACAGTATCTCAGCAACTGTAAGGCATATACATGCATTCTTTGACTTGTTTAATTTTCTTATAGCCTTTCATTAAGTTTACTTTTATTATTTCTCCTCTCTTACTTTCTTATGGAGATGTCAATTTGGAAGGCAGAAGAAGAGGCAAAAATTTCCTGCTGTATTTATCCTAGTCACAGCTCCAACTTTAACCTCGTATCTCCTCTCTTTTGCTTCTTCACAGTGAACCTGTATTTGCACTTATGACTCTCCTGATTCTGGTCCTTCATTCTTTTATGTGGCAACTTTTCTCTTATTATTCCTTCTGTTGTTGTAGTTCACATTTGCAGAATTATCACATAAGCAAACAGGCATTTGTTTCCATATACACATAAATCCTATACCTCACCTCACCTGTCCCTAGTCACCATCAAATGGGACCACACGTCCCTTATAAGCATTGCTTCATGTCACATGAGATTAAAAGACACACAGAACTCAAACTGATCACTATCTAATGTAATGGCAAATGTCACTGTTTAATCTGGATAGCAAATGTCAAGAATCAACGTGAAAGTAAACTAACAGGTCTCAAACATGCTCGTGTTTATTCAGCTTCAACCTGTTTTGTTGGAGTCATTTGTTGAAGTTCTTTCCCAGAGCATACACTTGACACATGGAACTGAGAAAAAGTTGATTCTCAAAACCCAGGAGAGAAGAACTGACTGCTTTCTGACTGAGAATGGTGGTCATGAAGAGCTTGTACCCCAGGAAAGGACAAACGTACCTTTGTAATTGCACTGAAGACCTTTTCCAGAATGGCATTGGGCTGAGCAATCTGTGGTCCACTGGCCTGGATGTTGAGGGCTATAGCACAAGGTTTGGCTATAAATCTAAAAACAAAACAAAACCAACAATGTAGGTCAAAAGTTATTCTTTCTATGTTGTTGTTGTTGTAAGTGCTGCCGAGTTGGTTCTGACCCGTAGTGACCCTGGATAGGGTTAAGATATGTCCATACACAATACTTCTCTTAGAATGCTACTTTTCTATTCTTCTCTCAGAAGCAACTGATGAGCTTGAACCGCCAACCTTGCTGTTCAAGTCAACTTTGCAGTCCAGCACATTAACCCGCAGCACTATACCAGCATTCCTTCTATAGCTGCCTAGAATATCACCAGTTATACATTAACCAACTGTCCCAATAAAATGTTAACGGTATTTTCTGAGTACACATTGCCAGCACTCATGTCTGAACTAGAAAGCAGGCTAAACTTTTGCTTTCTCCATTAGTCTCCCATCAATAGCAACGGTGAAAAGGAAATCTTCTTAACACATTTGAACACCTGATCCCCACATTCTAATGAGACTCAAGAGAAGACTATCAAATGTCAAATGTACCTGCATAAATTAGGAACCCACTGCCATCAAGTTGATTCCAACTCATAGCAACACTATAGAACAGAGTAGAATTAATTGTTCAGTAGGGTTGCCGAAGCTTGTAAACCTTTATGGAAGCAAACAGCCTCATCGTACTCCTGCAGAGCAGCTGCTGGGTTTGAACCTCTGACCTTGAGGTAGCAGCCCAATGCTTACTTCACAGCACCACCAGGTCTCCTTACTTAAGTGAGTTATGCAAATAAAATAAACCATGTTTTTAAAATAATATTGTTTATACTCATCAACTAGGTCTGATACAACCAGCCAAAAATATGAAAATCTGTTGCTATTGAGTCAATTCCTATGCATAGAGACTTTATAGGACAGATTTGAACTGCCAACTGAGTCCCAATGCTGAAATCTCTATGGAAGTAGATGGCTACATTTTTCTTTCATGGAGCAGCTGGTGGGTTCGAACCGCTAACCTTTATGTCAGCAAACGAATCCTAACCATTATACCACCAGTGTTCCTTAAACTAGTAATAATCCTGCTTTATTTTTACTTTGACAAAGTGTTTATTAAGCATCTGATTATACATGTTCATAAACACAAGGTGTGATGTGGATGGTTTGCACTCACATACTAACCTAAAGGTTGGCAATTCAAACTCACCCAGTGGTGTTGAAGAAAGACCTGATGAAAACCCTGTGGAGCTCAGTTTTGTTCTGTAACACATAGGGTCACTCCGAGTGCATACAGCCTCCATGGAAAAAGGTTTGGTTTTGTGACATTAGTCATAAGCTTGGCTATTTTGTCCTATAATGGTTAACCAACCAGCCAGTTGCCATTGCCCGGATTCGGCTTATGGCAACACCATGTGCTACAAAGCAGAACTATGCTTCATTTTTCATAGGTGTGACTTTGTAGAAACAGACTGCCAGGTCTTTCTTCTGAGGCACCTTTGATAGGGTTCACACTTCTAAACTTTTGATTAGAGCTGAATGCTTAACCATTTTCGACACTCAGGGAGACTTTCCTATAATCAAAATGTGCTATCTTCTGCCCAATTCCTTGTGGCTTCCTACAGTTCCCCGCTTTGTGGTTATTTGTCTCTTTCTCACAAGATATAATTGTTCTTATTGTTAAGTGCCATTGTGTCAGTTCCAACCAATAGCAACCCTATAGAGTTTCCGAGGAGCAGCTGGTGAGCTTGAACCGCCAACCTTGCAGTTCAACCCTATTTGCAATCTAGTCCATTAGCCCACAGTGCCACAGCAGGACTCCACAAGATATAAAAAGGGATGTAAAAGGGTATGAAATCCACACAGACAAGTTAAAAAGTCCAAAATGCTTATGAGCATCAGCAAATGACTATACCAAGAATAGGATTCTTGGTATGTGAATGAGACAGTAAATAAACACAGGTGGCCTGAATGGGGCCCCAAGGTCTCTCAAATTGTGTAAAAAAGAAAAAGTATTTACTTATAACTTTAAGAGTTATTTTAGACTACAAGCTCAAAAAAAGATTCTGCAAGCATCAATTTTCATAGTGCTATGTAACATTTTCCACTAATAAAAAACATCATTTACATGTCGATTTCAGTGACATGAATTTACATCCATTGGGTTGTGCAATTTTTTCATCGTATTTTACTGAAGTTCAGTGCCCCCTAAACAAGGACTCCCTCATTCTCCCTCACTTCTGTCTACCTGGTAACCACAGATAAGTTTGGTCTCTATACATTTGCCTATTATACATAATTCATATAAGTAAGATCATGCAATATTTGTCCCTTTATGACTGACATATTGCACTCAGCATGTTTTTAGGGTTCACCCATTTTGTAGTATGTACAAGGACTTCATTTCTCCTTTTAGTTGAATATTATTCCATCAAATGTGTTGTTGCTGTTGTCAAGTGCAGTTGTGTCAGTTCTGACTCATAGCAACCCTGTATAGGGTTTCCAAGAGTGGCTGGTGACTTATAGCAACCCTGTATAGGGTTTCCAAGAGTGGCTGGTGAATTTGAACCGCTGATCTTATCATTCAATCCAACCTTGTGGCCCAGTGCTTTATCCCAATTCATCTAACCATTAATCTGCTGATGGGCAGGTTATTATATCTTTTGGCTATTTTGAATAGTACTGCAGCAAGCATTAGTATACAAGTATGCTAAACACTTTTCACATGTTTGTTGGCTATTTGCATTTTGTTCTTCAATGAAAAGTCTATTCAAGTTCATTTTTGGATTGAGTTGCTTGTCGTTTTGTTGATAATTTGAAAATAATTTAACATCACATGATATTATTATCCAAGTGAATGTAATGTTGGCCAAATGGATAAATGTACAAGCCAGGTCATGAGTATCTTAGATGTAGCTTCTTTATTAGTATTTATCAGTGAGATTAGAGAACAGTAGGCAATGGACTAATGAAGTTCACATACACAGTACCACTTAATACCCTACCTAGTCGTATTTCAAATAAATAAATAAATTCATTCAAAGAGAAAATACAAAACGGTACATGAGCAAGCCTAGTCCAGGAAAAGTTAAAGAGAACATGATACAAATGTCTATTATAGTAGTTTCTCTGGGACCAAGTGGGAGGAAACAACCATTCTTTGTCAGTATGTAAATCTTCTAGAAACTGGAGTTTTCCCAAAACTTTTTCATTCTCAATTATTTTTAAAGCAAAAATTTCCAAGACACATTACACACGCGTCTACATTCTTAAAGAGAAATATAAGCTTTTCCTTATGACCGGTGTCTTCACTAACAACAGCAGTCATGGATATGGGGGCGGGGGGGAGGTGGTGGTGCTTTATGAATACAGACTACAGAAGAGCAGCCAGAACTTCTTTCCTTGACAAAGTTTCCTGCTTTGTGGTGATTTGCTTTTTCATTGTACAGGTGTAATGAATGAAAAGAAATGAGGTCCAAGGAAAGGGGTAAGTATCAAAAGTGTCTAAATTAATTTGGTGTAAAGGCCAAAATCAACTTCTCTTCCATATTGGATTCCGCTCCAGACCTCTTTTCCCCATTCCCACAACTTGGAAACAGTTTAAATTCATGTTTGGTATTTGTCTTCATCATCCTTGTAATTTCCTGTTGGCCTAGTATATAGTCTTCTTCTTTCTTCATGAATACTTTCAATCAGAAGCTGACCATTTTATGTTTGTTTACCCTCACATTCAATCCAGAAACAGATTATTTCATCTTTATTTACCCCTACCTTCAGTAAATAAGTTTTCACTGTTCCAGAATCCTAGTGTGGGTTAATGCACTGTGGGTTAATGCACTGGACTGCAAGTTGTTTGAAATGCAAAGTCAGCGGTTCAAGCTCACCAGCCACTCCTCAGAAATCCTATACAAGGTCGCTATGAGTCAGAACCAACTGGACGGCACTTAACAAGACCAACAACCATCTTCCATTAAGGAATTCTGCTGGTACAGTGGTTAAGAGCTGGACTGTTAACCAAAATTTGAACTGACCAGGCACTCTGAATCATGAAAAAAAAGATGTAGCAATTTGCTTCTGTAGAAAATACAACCTTGGAACCTCTATGGAAAGTTTTACTCTGTTCTATAGTATTGATAAAAGTTGGTGTCAAACTGACAGCCACTGGTTTGGTTGTTTTGATTTTGTTTTTCAATTACCATCATCCACTAGAAAAAGTTGGATTTTTTTCAGTGTTGATGTTTACAAGTCATCAAAACTGGAAGAGGACAGAGTCAAAGACAGACGAGAAAGAGATGAGGGGTTGGATAAAGCATGCTACAAATACAATATTTGAAAAGAAATATGTACTTTCAAGCTTTGATGATGAGTATCTCTACCAGGAAATACTTAATTTTTTTAATCAAAGGCAGCAATACCACTTTCAAAAGATCAAACATCTGTAAAGTACTTTCATGTATTATAACATATTTGAAAGTAAATACAGTAAAGATGCAAGCTTTTGAAAATACCAATCTCAGTTTAAAAACTGAGAAATCATATAAGACATTCGTACTTTTCAAGTCTATTTGAAAAATACATATTTGTATTTAAAACATGAATTAAAGCATCTGTCCACAAGGGACTGAAGCAAACTCCGGTCAGTAGTGTGGCAATAAGGAATAATTAAACTGAGGCTATGTTTTTCCTTAAAAAATTATAGTCCTGGAAACTATTTATAGGGTTGCTATGAGTTAGAATCAACTTGATGGTGTTGGGTTTGTGTATCAACTAGAATCCTAATAGCAATACTTTTTGACTTACGCTAGTATGTGTGTGTATATGGGTGCACAAACATATAGGCATACCTGTGTTGTTGTTAAGTGCCTTTGAGTCGGTTCCAACTCATAGTGACCCCATATAGGGTTTCCAAAGTGAGCTTGAACTGCCGACCTTGTGATTTAAACCAACTGTGCAGTCCCGTGCTTTATTCAGCAACAACATACCAGGACTCCAATAAAGCACAGATGGGCACAACTGTGGATACTTCCTAGACATAACCAAATACCTCATAGG